AATTCTAAGTTCAAATCTCATCGAACCTTAAGAGGCTTATTAATGAGCTGTAAGATGATCAATAAATCTCCAAAATGGTATTCAATATTTTGTATTCATGTGTATTTTTCTGGGGAGGGTATCTCTGATTTTTTTCATCAGACTTTTTAGGGAGTAATCAATACAAAGAAAGTTGAACAACCATTAATTTAAAGGGTCAGCCCAAACTAGCTTTTCATGTACCATACAATTCACCCATTAAAAGTGTAAACTCAATGGCTTTAAGTATGTTAACATAGTTGTAAAACTGTCACTATAATCAATTTTAGAACATTTTCATCACGTGAAATGGAAACCCAGCAAGCCGTAGCCAGACCTTTTGTGTGTGTGGCTTCCTTTACTTAGCAAAATGTTTTCAAGGTTCGTGCATGTTGTCTAGCGTGTCTCAGTAGTCATTATTCTTTAGGGTTGAATAACATTCCATTGTATGGATATGCCATATTTTATTTATCTTTTCATCATTGATGGATATTTAGATTGTTTCCACCTTTTTGTTATTATGAATATTGCTGCTGTGAACATCTGTGGACAAGTTTTTGTGTCCCATATGCTATTATTTCTCTTGGGTGTATACTCAGTAGTGGAATTCCTGGGCACATGATAACTCGAAGTTTAACTATTTCAGGAACTGCCAGATTATTTTCTGAAGTGCACAGTTTGACATTTCCACCAACAATACATGCAAATTCCATTTTACCCCTGTCTTCACCACTACTTGTTAATATTTATCATTTTTTTGATAGACAGTAGTAGTGGTATCCAGTGGTATCTCATGAAGTGGCATCTCATTTTGGGTTTTATTTGAATTCTCTGATGGCGGTTGATGTTGAGTACCTTTTAATGTGCTTGTTGGCCATTTGTTTGTCTTCGGAGAAACTTCTGTTCAGATCCGTAACCCATTTTTGATTTGAGGTGTTTGTGCCTAATCCAAGACCACAGACATTTATTCCTATGTTTTCTCCTAAGTTTAATAGTTTTAAAAAGTGTAAAGACATTTAGGTTTTTGATCCATTTTAAATTAATTTTTGTATGACGTGTGAGGTAGTAGCCCATTCTTTTCCATGCAGATATCCAGTTGTTCTACACCATTTGTTGAAATGACTGTTTTTCCCCCATTGAATGGACTTGGCATCTTTGTTGAAGAACACTTGATTGTAAATGTGGATATCTATTTTTTAAAGAAAGCTCTGAAGCCTTTTAAGTTAACCTTGCCAAGAAAAGTAAGACAAAATATAACAGAGTAGTTAAATCTTTGTTTTTCAAAATGAGTTCAGGTCACCTGTCCATTGAACCAACCACTGGGATGATACCATCTAAAGTTGTATCACTGTCATGTGGCTTCTTAATTAGTGGAATGAAGTCTTTCCTAATGGAAGAATCTTCATTTAATGTGTATCCTTGGATTTTGTTTTTATTTAAATTTGGAAATTTGGAATTGTGTGTCATTTTAACAGCCAGTTCTCCTCACTTTGTTTGAAAATACTGTAAGCATGTTAGGATTACTCTTTGCCTTATAGAGGGTCATTTTTCCCTCCTTTCGCTTGTTTTCAAAGATTAGCCAGAGGCAAAAGTTAATCTTTAAAAGAGTCATGCTTATAACGGTGCGATAGTGCTGAGTGGCTGGTGTTCTGCTGATTGTAGCTGTAAAATGTTTTTCGGAGAGCAGTGAAAGCAGTTTGCTTTTCATTCCAATATGCTATAATTTTTGAGGTCCACTGAACTTCTAAAAACATCAAACCCAAGGAGTGAAATGAAAATTTGTAAATTACATTTTCCCTCAGGGATCCTTTAGTATTTAGAAAGGAGAATGTATTTACTAGCTTCTATTGAGGTTGAAGTGGTTATCAGAATTGATTGAGAGTTAGATTATGTTGACTTTTTAAAAGCTAATTAAGGAGATTAATTACCTCTAATGTGATGTCAGAGTCCCTGGGTGGTACAAAATGGTTAATGCGCTTGGCTGGTAACGGAAAGTTTGGAGGTACAGAGTCCACTCAGAGGCACCTCTGGGCCTGACCACCTCCTTCTGAAATATCTGCCATTGAAAGCCCTGTAGAACACAGTTCTATGCTGATACGTGGGGGCTCCATGAGTTAGAATATAGTTCGTGGCAACTGGTAATGATGTGCCACAATTCACAGGTATAAAGACATTTGTCTCTGTTTTTCTTGACGGTTTTTTAAGGTGGAAAACTTTCTTAGAGACCATATTTATACACATTTCTTCAGCTCAGAAAATTTATATGGAATAAACACACACACATAATTATAAAATTAAATATATTTTTATAGCAATAAGATTTGTTTTGAAATCTATTATCTAAAAACTATATACCATATATTAGTATCATTTGAGGTTAGAGTTCGAAAAACCCAAAGCCCACCAAACACATACTTTCAAATCTTGGAATAAAAAAATTTTAAACAATGAAACAATTTTTTTTTTTTAATGACTTGTGGAGTTCCTGTCTGGATCATTGTCTTCTTTTTGCAGTAAAGGTATGCTTTCAGAATAGACGGCATTTCAGAGAGCTGACTAAAAGCTGCTCCTGGAGTCAACAGCCATGTGTGCTTCTTCAGTCCTCGTGAGCACGGCAGTACTGACCGCGTTACAGGGATGCCCCAGTGCCACTCAAAGGCTTGCAGAAACAGGAAGGACGTTACATACATTTATGAAAGATTCAGTTACTAAATGTCCTGAAAATGAAAGATACCACTCTTAGAAGGGCATGCTATTTGGAATTCTATTATTTGCATTGCCTAATAAATGCATTTGACTAATATGTGCATTAGACATATTTATCATATTTATTGAGTGTCTGCTGTGTGTCAGGTATTGTTCTAGGCAATGGAGATTCAGCAGTGAACAAAGGAGGCACCAGTCCTTGGCCTCACATATCTCTGTAGACAGGTGATAGAAAATAGATGACTGAAACATAACAAATATTATCATAGAACATATAAATCTTTTTATAAGTGTTTGATTGTAAACAGCTAAGAGTTAATTACTTTTCTTACCAATAAAGATGCTTTTGAATAGAATACTGTATGTGAGTGAGTCTATATATAGGTCAGAATTTATCTAATTATATACTTTGTAGGCACTCTGGTAGCATAGTGCCTAAGGCTGCTAACCAGAAGGCTGGTGGTTCAAACCCACTAGCCACTCCTCGGAAGGCAGGTTGGGCAATCTACTTCCATAGTGAATAATGCCTTGGAAACTCAAGGAGGGGTCACTTTGAGGCAGGGCCAACTCAACGGCACGTGACAAGAACACAACATACACTTAGTATATGTGCCTTTTATGTCTATGTATTCTCAAAAAAGCTGTTAAAAATTACTCTTAACTGGTCATATCAATGTAACATTTGACAGTATTGTAACTTTGTGTCTTCTAGAAACTAATCCCTGAAATGTGTCATGATTTACTTCTTTGCTTTAGACTCAGCTTTGTTGTTGTTGTTGTGTGCCATCGAGTCGGATATAGCGACCCCTCCTTGGGTTTCCGAGGCAGTATCACTACGGAAGTAGATTGCCCCATCTTCCTTCCAAGGAGTGGCTGGTGGGTTTGAACCACCAGCCTTCTGGTTAGCAGTCAAGTGCCTTAGCCACTATACTACCAGAGCTCCCAGACTCAGCTTTAGGAAGACAGAAACATTGATATAAGTCTCTTCTCCTTAGGATCAGTAACCAGACTAGGAATATCTACTGGGTGGGGCATTGTCATTTGTGTAATTTATAATACAGTTTATACTGTCTTTTGCTATTATGTTCCTATAGTTCAAATTAGACTTTAGTTTACAATAGAAGGAAAGAGTTATTGTGATGAAATCTTGTCTGTCTCTTGATGGTATAAATTTAGATTCTAAACTGAGACATAAACAATGAAATAGATAATCTCAGTTTGCTCCTCAGATGTATATTTTAAAACATTTATGAAAAATTAACAAGCTACTTATGGAATGATGATCCAGGCCTAAAGGTGATTCTATGAATTAATCTTTTATGTTCATTGAATTCTTTGCACTTTCTTTTGAGTTGTGTCTTTAAAGCAGTTTTGTGAGACAGTAAAGTATTATTTGTGTAGGTAACACGAGAAACCTGAGACTCAGGAACTTCATTGGCATAGCCAGGAGGAGAGATGACAGCTTTTGGATGACAGACACCATTTAATTGCCTGAGTTGTGTTATATTTTTGTTAGAACTTAGTAAGGTGTTTTTGAACTTCCCATGCATGGAAAGTGCTCACTGTCAAGTATATTTAGTATATTGTTGCGGAAAAGAGAGAACCACAAAATAATAATTTCTTCTGGTTGTTAATGGTTGGGGCTGGAAGCAAGAAAAATGAAATGTAGTGCTTAGCATAATATATAGGATTGTGTACATGACTTCCCAGCATCCTTCTACTGAGGCACCTTTTGTGGGTATCTTTAACATCAGTTTATTTTTCTCTTTGGCCCCATACTTGTCTGTCCTTTTTTAAAATTTTTTCTTTCTCTTTTCCATGTGTATGTGTATCTGATAGTCTTCTTTATCTTTTTCACTTAAATTCCTGACACCATTGCATCTTTTCTCTCAATATTTGTATTTGAATTAAGAATTTACAGGCTTAGATCACTGACTTATAATTGAATTATAAATGATTCCTATTAACGTCTCTCCCTTATTCTAGGAACAGCTGTGTAAAATGTGCACTTTTTTGCTAAAGCCGATTAACAGTTCTTTTCACATTTGTTTCTTACTAGAACAGAGTCAAAATCAAAGTGAAACTAAGTGGGGGGGCGGGGGGAAGAAATCTTTATCCTTATTTAGGTTCCATGACCAGTATTATGGGAATTTTATCTGAGACTTTAAAAAAAATAATCATTTTATTTTTTTTTTGGTTTTCTGGCCTCAGCATATGAATCACCAACAGAAAAGTTATTAAGAAATTTCTCAATATTGTCATTTCAAAATTTTCAGGCTGCTATCCTTGCCCAGGGCCAAACATGAATCCTATCGCTCTTGGGAGCCGTTGGCTTGCTTATGCAGAAAACAAGGTAAGGCATGGCCCGTGTTTCGTTACATATAATGGAGCAAGTCTTGAAGGATATTCCATAATAGATACCTATGCTCCATAAGTGATTACTGATGAAAATTTAATACTTAACATAATGCTTTTTTTTCTTGTTGTAGTTGTGTGACCCATAATCTTCCTATCTTCCTTCTTGCTTTTGATCAGTACTTGAACTCTGTTAAGAATTCATAAACATTTGGCAGTTGTCTTTGGGTACAGACTCTGGAGAGCTTTACTTTTCTAGACTTTATATAGAGAACGCCATTCTGTTAATCTCAAAGGACATCACACATTGTATGTAGGGAAACATATGATGGAACACTATGCAACCCTGAAGGATAATGTAGAATCTGCAAAACAACGAAGTAACATGGATGACATTATGCTGAGTGAAATAAGTCAATCACAGAAGGACAAATATTGTAAAAAGTCAAGGAAAGGTTTATATATGGAAGGAAACTTTCTTTGTTGGTTACCAGGGGTGAGAGGGGAGGGGAGGAAACACTGCCAAATGAATAGATAGATAGATAGAAAAGAAGGACATCATTGAGGTTACCACAGTACTGGTTTTAAAAAATTAGCAGTCTCTGTGAGGCTAGGTATCAGGGGGCAGAAATGACTTCTGTCTTCCCCAGTAGATTGGGGGCCTGAAGCATAGAATAATTTAAATGACTTTAAATATATGGGAGCTCTAGTGGGGTAGTACCTAAGGCATTTGACTGCTAACCAGAAGGCTGGCGGTTCAAACCTACCGGCCACTCCTCGGAAGGAAGGTTGAGCAATCTACTTCTGTAACCCAGGGAGGGATCGCTATGAATTGGATCTGATTCTACAGCAGTGAGTTTTTTTTTTTTTTTTTAATATGTGCTTAAAACTACATCTAAATAACAAGTTAGCCATTTATTTTAATAATGACATCACTGATCTTATCTATGAAGGTCAGTGTAACAGAGTGAAGGTGTTATATTTATACACTGAGTTTTATTGATGTCTACTAAAACATACTAAATTTGAACTTTTGAAAAGAAAGTTAAATCCTTTTCATTCCGTTTTTTATCTTATATGTGGATATAGAATAAAACCTAGAAGAAATTAGAGACTTCCAAGAGAATTAGTAATTTTAGTGTCATTTTTACCTGGAAGTGTAATATAAAGTAATACACATTATTAAATATTAAATATAAAAGTTCTTAACCAAATCAAAATATGGTAAATAGTTATTATTTGGTAAAGCCACAGAGCTAGTAAATCTCTAATTTCTGGAATGCACAAAATCAAGAAGTATGGAAGAAAATTATTTTTCTAGATGACTTCCTTGACACTTTATCTAAAATGCCGTGTCCAACAAATAGATATTTTGCATCTTAACAGTGTTGTACTATGTTCTATCTCAGTTTTCCACTGTATCTCATATAAAGGAGTTCTTCCATATTATCGTTTTTCAGAGTTTGTTGACAAGTAGTATTTAATTCAATGTGATGGCATAATGGTTTTTTCTTATGTTCACATCCGTAACACATTTCTGTGAATGTCTCTTGGCTGTTGTAGAGGTGTTCTCATGTGTGGGAAACTGCTCATTTATAATTGGCAGCATTATGCAAATGCACTGGTCACTGCTGTTGAGTCGGATGCGACTCATAGTGACTCCTTGGGTTTCCAAGGTGGTATCAGTATGGAAGTAGATTGCCCAATCTTTCTTCCCAGGAGTGGCTGGTGAGTTTGAACCGCCAGCATTCTGGCTAGCAGTCAAATGCCTTGGGCACTAAGCTACCAGAGCTCCTGTTATGCAAATAGTTGTGTATTATTTTCAAGGGGAATGAACTCCCTTCGTAGATGTATAACCTGGATATATGGCAGGTTTTTTTGCTTTTGCAAAGGCCCATGTCAATAAAATCTGGTCTCATATACAGAGACCAGAAAATGTAGTGGAATTCACAAGGAATTTGCTAATTAAATAATTGTACTACCCTTGGAAGAAACATTTCCATAAGAGCTAGTATTTATTACCAATTTCTGATTGATCTTTTAAGCCAAATGTGGAATTACAAAATTGAACTTTAAGTTTTTGAGTGACAATAACTTTTTATTAAAGTCGACGAAAATATTCTTTGATTTAAATCTTAAGCTGGAAGCCTTGCATGTGGGTAGAGATTTTTGTTTTAGAGTGCCTCTTCTCTAAAAAAATATACATTAAATTCATCACTTACATTAAACTTGCAAAATCACTCTAGATCAAACAGTACAGATACCACAAAGAGCACCCATGTCGCCTTTACTTTCCTTGTGTCTTTTCCTTTCCTGTGCGGCTTCCCTCTGACTCTGTGACTCTTCCTCTCCCTCTTTTCTGTCAGCCCCTCCCACTCATTCTTTCCTCTTTCCCACCTTTCTTCCCTACCTCCTTTTTTCTAGCCTTCCTTTCCCCACTTCCTTCTTTCCCTCAGTATGGTTATAGCTTGCCGATATAAGATTTGTTGTTGTTGTTGTGTGCCGTCGAGTCGCCCCTGACTCATAGGGACCCTTCCTTGGGTTTCCTAGGCAGTATCACTACGGAAGTAGATTGCCCAACCTTCCTTCCGAGGAGTGGCTGGTGGGTGTGAACCGCCAGCCTTCTGGTTAGCAGTCAAGTGCCTTAGGCACTACGCTACCAGAGCTCCTGATACAAGATTGTTGTTGTTGTTGTTGTTGTTATGTGCCGTCGAGTATATTTATATTTATGTTACATACAAACACATGTACACTTATATATTCCCGTCTTTCATAAAAGGTAACGTATTATGTATGCCTTTTTGCACATTGCTTTTTTTTACTTAACAGTATTTCCTAGAAATTAATCCATTTGTTAGAGTTTATGCATTACAGAAAGTTCTGACTCATCTTTAAGGTAAATTACTCAGGATACAATGTAATTTTCTTATTCTAAACTTTAGACCAAAGTTTCTAGTGTATTTCATTTTATGTAGAAATATTGAGTCAGATTTAGCAGGTTTGAAAAGGTTAGAATTTTGCCTACTGTCACACATTTGTCCTTGCATATTTTAGTTTCCTGAGGCAGGGAAAAAGATGGTAGTATTTCCAAAATACTGTCTTTCCTTGCACATGCAGCAGGGGGCAGCAGACGGACAGATTTCATAATACTTGATGTGTGTATTTGTGAATGAATGAGTGTGAGATAGAGATTCTTTTTATTAGACCAAATAATTACTTTTCAGACTCCCTGTTTTGTGGAAACATTTAGGGGTCACCTGTCTCTCAGAGCATTTCTTACCACTTGCCACTGAGCGGTGAAACAACCATTCAGTGAGGCATAACAGATCGCCTAATAAATAGCCTGACATCTAATATCAAACTTTAAGAGATGTTCTGTTCTATTATAATATATTTGTATTCCTTTGTGTTTTTTTCCAACAATATCAATGATAAAGAAAACTTAAGTATAAAAGGATTATATATCTATCTTTATTGAAGAACATGGTTTTAAAGTATATGGAACCTTTTTTTTTTTTAAATTTTGGATGATGTAGATGTGAAGTCTAGATGCTTAAAAAATTATTTTACAATGTTGTGCTGTTCTACTATTGTCTTCTAATTTCTTTTAGGTGTCCCTGACAATATTTTTTAGTGGGCTTTATTTTTTTGAGTAGTTTCAGGTTTCCAGAGATTTCCAGATATCCCCTTCCCACCTACAAGCTGCTTCTTCTGTCATTAACATCTTTCATTCCTGTGGGACATTTGTTACAATTGATACACTAAAATACTGAAATTTTATTAACCAAGTCTATAGTTTATATTAGGGTTCATTCATTAAAAACAAAACAAAAACATAAATTTAAAAACCTGGCCGTATTTTTATGAGTATAAAACTTCTCTTCCTGAAAATAGGAGGTGTAGGACCAGTGGGAGATCCATCCCGCTTTATTGCTCAGCATCTGAGGAATCAGCCATATCAGACGAATGGTTCACTTTGAAAAGTGGTAGAGAATTGATTTGTGTCAAGCACAAATAGTGGCATATCTTTTTTATTCCTAATGCTAAAAGCGGTAAGTTCTTTTAGGTGGACAACTTGTATATGTGTTATAGTCAATTTATGTATAATTTGTGCCACTTTTCCACTGACAGTTGAAAACTGAAAATTCTTTTGTCTTTTTTTTTTAATTTCCTTTTACAGTCTTTATGGAGGACTTAAGAGGACAAAACATCCAATTTGCTAGAATGTCAAATATTTAATGTTAGGAAGTCATGTCTAAGTCCTTTGATTATATTTTAACAATTTATTTGTAGAAAGGCTGCCAGCCCCAAATCCTTCTATTTCAGAGTTTATGAATTCATGAAGACTGTTCATCTTGTAATTAAAAAAACTACTTGAGCATAAAGCTGTGTGAGTGGCACCAGTGGATTATAAAACGGGGTAAAAGTGTCTCAGCACAGCTTTTAGCTGTTTGTCTGAAATACACTCATGCAAACATTCCCACCCACCACCATCATTATGTGTGGTAAATAAGCTCTCTCCTAACAGCCTGTTGAGTTAAACAGTTTAAAGAAATAACTTTCTGATTCTTTCTCTCTTTTTTTCTCTGCCAGTTGATTCGATGCCATCAGTCCCGTGGTGGAGCCTGTGGAGACAACATTCAATCCTATACTGCCACAGTCATTAGTGCTGCTAAAGTGAGTGCCTCAGTCGGGTCTGGGAGCCATGATCGTGCGGGGTGATTATCAGGTTTCTCCTCTGAATTGGACTGAGATTATCCCTTCTCTTTTCACTGGCAAATGTAGAATAAACTTTCAGAAGTCAATCAGAATTATTTTGCCACTCGTGAATATTAGTTGCTAAATGATTGGATAGTTAATATCTCAAGATTCATAAATAATGCTTTATTTTCTACTGTAATGGGTATAGGGTTTATACATAACCTATATTCAATATTTAAGTTGTTAGGTGATTAAAGCTGCCGTCCTAATGAAAAACCCTCGGTGAGATGGAGTGGCGCAGTGGTTGTAGCAGTGGGCTCAAACAAAGCAGCTGTCGTGAGGATGGGGCAGGCCTGGCAGTGCTCCATTGTCATCCACGGAGTCGCTGTGGAACCGACTCCACAGCACCCAACAACAGCAGCGTTTAATTAATAACACTTTGGAAAGAAACTCCAACATGTGTGAAGGGTGCTTTCTAGATTTGTCTGTGATTTGCATCATTCTACCTACATTGACATCTCTTTGTTTATTTGGACGTTTTTCAGTCTTCTTGACATAAAAAGAGTATTACTCCTTAAGAAAACTTGAACCAAACCCCTGGCACATTCAGAGATTCTTTCATATCAAGGGCTTCCTTCCCCTCCCTTCCCCACGTGTTTGTCAACCGAGTTCTTTTCTTGTGTGGGCTTTAATTTTGATGTTGGCTGGTAAACTTTATGCTGATTATAAGGTATTCTTATAACCACCAGCCTTTTGAATTGTGAAGTATACAACAAAACAATTCTAATAATAGGGATGACAGAATGAATCTAAATGACAGCATGTAATAGAAAGCACAACTATACAGAAAAGAGCAACAGTTTAAAGCAAACCACAGGGAGGGAATCAAAGGTCACACTATTTTATGTAAAACAAATACAGAAATATTTGAGGATTGATCACAAATGCTTACATGATGTGCTTTAGAAAGGGTTCCTTGTTGATGGGAGAAGTACTGCATATTTTTCATTCAAAGGGGAACTACTGAACAAGTCTTTACATTTACGGCACATAACAACAACAACAGATATTTTAGATTTCAGAAATTCTTACAAAGATTGATGGGTTATTCCATTGTATATGCAAAAATTATGATGGTTATTTCAAAGAAAAAAATCAAAGGCAGAGTAATTAGTAAACATCTTCAATGTTATTTAATAAGTTTATAGTAGATTTGCAAAATGCATTAATGAAGTTTAATTCTCAGTTCTTTTAGACTTGTATGGCTCATACAATTTGATTAGAATACCTTATTGTATCATCGTTTTGAGTTATTATCAGTTATGGTAGAGATGAACTTTCTCACACCTTACCCTCAATATTGTGAACTGTGAGGCATGTACTGATGGCTTTCCTATTTAGACTCTAATACATGAGAATTGATGATTATACCATTGCTTACCACAGGTTGATTGGAATTCCGTGGTAGGCTTGGTGATGTATAAAATTTTCCCACTAACTCTTAAATAATGTTTGTAATATTTACTTTGGGTTAATTTTTTTTTTTTTTTTGCCAGATTGTACTGTTTATTCATTCTCACAGTTGTAATATTAGAAGATGAAGGGAAAACATAGCCATGAACACAAAAACCAGCCATTTACAGTTTTTTGTGTGTCTCTGTGTGTATATGTACAGTGACACCTGTAAAAGCTAGAATGTGATAGAACAGCCTTGTTTTTCTGGGTCTCATATCTGTGCATCTGTTTCTGAAATCCTGAGGCAGAGGACATGAGTGTTTTGAAATTTCTTCAAAAAATATTGCCAAAACTCCTGCAAGAAATAAATGACCCTTCACTTCTAAAACCCAACCCACTGCCCTTGAGTCAATTCCATCTCAAAGTGCCCCCCATTGGGTTTCCAAGGCAATAAATCTTTATGGAAGTAGATTATCTCATCTTCCTCCCACAGAGCAGCTGGTTTTTTTTTTTTTTTTAATGCCACTCTCCTTCCCTCCCACTCCTGGTAACCAACAAAAAAAGTTTTACATAAACCTTTCCTTGACTTTTTACAATAATAAACTAATACAGTATTTGTCCTTCTGTGATTGATTTATTTTGCTCAGCATAATGTCTTCCAAGTTCATCCATGTTAAGTGGTGTTTTGCAGATTCTACGTTATTCTTTAGTGTTGCATAGTATTCCATTGTGTATATGTATCATAGCTTGGTTATCCATTCTTCTGTTTGAACCACCAACCTTCTGGTAGCTGTCAGATGCCTTACCCACTATGCTGCCCGAGCTCCTTTGACTTCTAAGGTGTGAATATTTTATATAGAAAAGATTGGAAGGTTGAGGTAATTTCCCCACCTTTTCAAATGAATAGTTTCTCCTAGTGAGGTATATTAGTTACTACGTACTTTGATTTATATTAACTTTCTGAAGTATACAACAGTTCCAATTTTACATAATAACTAAAAGTGATTTCTCTAATTAAATAGTACAATTTTAAGTATATTCTTTTTGTTACTGTTACATAATCAGTTGTAAAACTTATAGCTTATTAAATAAGCCTTATTTTAGTCTAAAAATGTCTTTATTCTTATCTAAATTTTAAAAACATACATGCCCAGAAAGAACTCCAAAGAACTCCTTATACTATTACATTAGCATGTTCACTTGAGAAAATTAATTTTATTGTATACTTAAAATTCATGTTTTTTTAAAGTATAAATTTAACTTTAAAAAACAAATGAACATACAAACTTACAAAGATATCTTCAGGGGTAGAGACCTCTAGAATTCTGTCAGACGTTTAAGACTAAAAATGGCGATATTACAAAGACTCTTCCAGAGATTAGGAAAAGTGATTATACATAATCTTATTTTATGATGCTAGACCACTTTGATACCAAAACTTGCAAGCACTGTAAATCTCATTTGTCACTGATTATAATTTGCCACATTAACAGAATAAAGGAGAAAAATTATGTGATCATCTCAGTTTATCTCATAAGGTATTAGAGAAAATCCAACTTGTATTCATTGTAAAATCTTTTACTAAGTAGAGATAATTCCCAGTGCTCTGCAATTCCATTTTTCTGAAATTATCAAGCATAGTAAGCATGATCATGTTAAAATCTATTTCTGGTAACTCCATCATCTGGCCCCTTTGGATCTGTTTTTGTTGTGTGTTGTTTCTTCTGGATCTCATTCTGAAATCTTGATTCCTTGTTTGCCTTGTAATTTTTGATTATGTGTCAGAAATTTTATTTCGAAAATTGTTTTTTGTCATTAGGCTACTCTTGTTAATTGTTAGGTGCCATCAAGTCAGTCTTCACTCATAAGTACCCCATGTGACAGGAGTAGAACTGCCCTAAAGGGTTTTCTAGACTCTCATATTCATAGGGTAGATAGCCAGTTCTTTCTCCCAAGGAGCTGCTAGGTAGATCCAACCTGCCAACCTCTGGTTTACAGCTGAGCATTTGGCCATTACTCTACCAGGGCTCTTTACCTAGGATGTTATCTTCCACCAGATTTCTGTGACACTCGCAATCTGGGATTATCTTAATCCATTTCAGGGGTTAGGGTTATTTAAATGAAGCAGACCTGTAATGTGTGTGAAATCTTGTTTATTGCAGTTCTCTCTTACTTCTAGTATATATCCCGTTATGTCCCAACCCAAAGCATTGAGGTAAGGTCATCACGTAGACTCCCTTGACACTTTCGACTGCATTACACAACCTTCTACTCCCTCAACCCTGTCAAAAGCACGGCTTAGTATTTTAGCAGACCCTTTCCAAATCAGCACGTGCCTCTAGGCCTAAATCCCAAGCTAACCTGTCAGGATTCCCCTGTTCTTTTGACCCAGTAACTCTTTACTATCTTATTAAATAATCAATATCTTCAAGTAGAGTTTAAAAAATAAAAACAAACAACAATATTCTCTCTAGTTTATAAATTGTTTGTACCTAGTCTGTCACTAATAGAAAGAAAATTTTCTTATTATCTGTAATCACTGCTATAATTTCTAGATAATAAGGTATTTTTTGAGACCTAATATGGAAAATATGTATAAAGCCATGTCGTATGTGCTATTTAAGAATTTTCTGGATTTCTAATGTTATTTAAAATTAATCTTCATGCTTTTAGATTTTTCCCTTTGATATTAAAAACAATTTATTTGTCTTTCCTTATAAAAAATATAAAAATGATGAATTCTTTGTTAGTAATAAAGGAAAAATTTAAATCATGAAATTTTTTGACTTTTCATATTATATTACTTTGATAACCTATAAAATCTTGGTGTGGGTTTCCTAGTCACCCTCATAACAGTCTTATTTGATTCTTCCTTTAATGTATTTTAACTCCAGTGTGGTAAATTGATTTGATAAAAATGCCTCTGTTTTGTCTTGTTATTTGATAACTTCTTAATGACAACTAACAGCTTTTGTGAGAGCAGCACCATTATCACTAATGGATAGGGAGGACAACTTATATGACATGGGAAAGGTTAAAGATGACTAGTGACACTTGGGCAAATCTGACTGCAAAAGAATTGAATAGGTTCCATGCTCATTTGAATTATAGGTCATATTCTAATGCTCAGCTCTCTTAGAACCATAGTTTAGTTTTGTGAGTACTCTAGCCAATAGGGAATATAATGAATTTAATTTAGGTAATTAAATTATAGTCTCTTTCTGGACAAATCATCCTTTTATATTTAAATTTTTTCCTTGGCCTTCACCATTTTTTTAGATATGTATTTGAGGATATCATCAGGTATTGATATAGGCCTTAAATATACACTAATGAAATCAATTGGAATGACAAATTACTGTGATGTGAATATGACAATGTGAAAACTGTTAAATAACCCCATATATACTCACTCCTCACTTATTGACATGGTTACATTCCAAAGACCAGATTATGTGAAAAATCACCATTATATGAAAATTGAGCATTACTTAACTGCCAAACCGTTGCGAATCATGGCCCAGCCATATTAACACATAACCTTAACCATCACAGCTAGTGTTACTCTTGTCTGGCACCTCACTGTTTCTTACTGCCAGATATATGTTGTTGCAAAATAGTAGGACAGTAGTTTTTTTTTTTTTTTTTAACTATTGTCATAAATGTAAAATGTTGGATAACGAGATAGTTGATAAGTGAGTATTAGGTATAAATTACTTATGAATGCTAGTGCCTATGATCTGTTTGATTCTAACATTGAAACAAATTCTTGAAAGAGACAGATGTCTTCACTAACAGAAAATTTCCAGCACTCCTTCCTCACGTCCCATATTGATGAGCTATGATCTAGGAGTAGTACTGTCTTGCCACTTACTTTAGAATGTATAGATTTGCTCACTGCTAATTTCTGGATTTAGATATTTCAACACAAAATGAGTTGACCCCATTGATAGTTATAATTTTTATTTCTAAGAAATATCAAGAACTCTTTGTGTAAAATGAGGCTTTGACTATGAAATATGCTACTTTATGCCCTCCTTTCTTTTTGTGGAGCTTTTCCCTAGTATCCTTATATTAACTTTCCTATTATATTACAGTTTGCTTTGGTACATTACTTTCTGCTTTTTGCGTGCTCTAGTTCTTTTAGTTTTATTCCTGTTCGTTGGTATAAATCATGAAATAATAGGCTCGAGGCAAATAGGGAGGATAGGAAACCAAAGACTAAAACGAAAAGGCATTCCTTTGATAAAGGGATAGCTCTGTTTAAGTGGGAGCCATCACCATTAGCATTAATGGAATAAGTACATCAGCTGAGGCATCTCAGAGGTTAATCAGGCTTCCTGGCCAGCTCTTGACATCAATACACTGTGGCGCCTGATTCTGTTGGTCCTTCAGAGGCTTTCCTGACAACACCCTAACAGACTTTGTGTAAGTCATTTCTTGTGAATTATTGAAACAAACGTTTGGCTGCTAATTGATGAACGGTAATGTGTTTTATAATCACTGCAGTTTGAGTTTTTAGCACTAAACAAAACAGTTACAATTGATCTGTGGCTTTTTCTTGGTTTCAGTCTGCTGCATGTGATCTTTTTGCTTCAATCCAGCAGACAGCTTTGCTGGTCATTTTATTTAAGCATTTATAGGATATATGAGAATGTTTTTCAGTTTTCTTTTTCCTTCCATCTTATATCTAAAAAGGAGCAGTGGTAACACAGTGGGTAAGGTACTCGGCTGCTAACCAGTCGGGTTCGAACCCTCCAACTGCTCCACAGGAGAAAGATGAAGCAGTCTGCTTCCATTAAGATTTACAGCCTTGGAAAAGCTATGAGGCAGGTCTACTCTGTCTTATAGGGTCACTATGAGTCAAAATCAACTCAATAACAAATAGGTTTGGTTTTACACATCTATAAAATAATTGAGATAATTGACTACTAGATATTTCGTTTTCAATTAATTGGCCTTCCAGTAGATTTCTCTGATGCTGTCCAACTCAAGTTACTTCATCGGGGCAGGGCAACGACGTTCTGTATTCATGTGTAAAATCATGAGTAATAACAGGAATAGATTACAAGACAATATAGGATAATGACTTAAAAGTCAGGCTCTAGAGAGAGACAGTCGTACTTTAAATTCTTGCTCTGTCGTTGCTTAGCTGTTTGAGCTGCCATTTTACTTAACTTCTTTAGCCCCAATTTTCTCTTCTATAGAACTGGAGAAATCTATAGAGCTATGTTAAGAGCCTTGATTAGTCCCTGGTTCACAGTAAAGATTCCATTGGGACATAATTATGGTAAAACCGTTCATATATTTTTAGTATCAGTTATATGATGTTCTAATGGAAAATTTCTTAGGAAATGCTGTTACCCAGCTTTACATTGTCACATAATTTTAATTCTAGCCCAAATGTTGCTTGAATAAAATTTGGGCCTTAAACAAATAAACAAAAAACCCTTTCAAATTAAGATCTGAAATACCATGTATATAATAACTTATATTTTAAAATTTAGCTATAGCATATGCCAGAATATAGTTGAGGTTATTTTTCCCCCCACAGTTATTTTAGAAAAGAGTTACCTTATATTTAAATACCTTATAGTCTATTATATTAGCACCACTTTCCATGCTTTATTTTGGGGTTTATGTATATATATATTTTTTTACTTTAAGTACTTTATATTAAAGATAGGATAAATACATTAATCGGTTTTTGTTGTTTGTTGTTTTGTTTTTTCAGTATTGGATGATGTTATGAATAAGACTTTAATGAGCTGAATAAATGGTTACTTTATTACCAGGGATTATGAAAAAAAGAAAGGTGTTCTAATTTTTTCCTGGGAATTTTTATTTAGATTTGTGGTTAGTTTCCTATGACTGTTGTCATACATAGTTTAAAATATCCTGTATCTTGGACAATTTGAAGACTGTGTGCCCTCGAAAAAGGTCTCAAATGTGGTTCTAATAATAATAAACATTATTTAAGATAAGCTTGAAGTATTTTAATAATTTTTTTTCACACTATGAGAATTGGGGGAAAAAATGCTTTTTTCTGGATGCACGTATATGATGTTTTTTAACGTGGCCACATAACCTAGGCTGTCTTCTTTTGCTCTAATGATGAGACTGTTCTTTAATAGCTATGGATTACATAGTTTTAATCTTTCAACTTTCTCCCTTTTCAGATGAAAAAACTGCTTACTTCGAAAAAGATTTTATTTGAAAATAACTCATAATGAAATTTACTAAGAGAAAAATTATTCACACATGAGTAATCTATTTGCTTTTAATGCCAGGGAACTAAAATATAATAAAATGTCTTACCAAAACCCCACTGCTAGTGAGTTGATTCTATGCATAGCGACCCTCTAGAACAGAGTGGAACTACCCCATAAGGTTTCCAAGGCTGTACATCTTCATGGAAGCAGACTGCCTTATCTTTCTCCTGAGGTGTGGCAAACCGCCAACCCTTTGGTTAGCAGTCAAATGTGTTAACCACTGCACCAGCAGAGCTCCTAAAATATCTTCTGTTGTCTTTAATTGAAATGGGGTATTAGAAGCATTGTATTGACATTTTTGTTATGAGATAGAAAAGAATCCTCTTAGCTTATGTTCTATGATTATATATATAATTTATTTGTCTAGTAATTAGTGGGGAGCTCTGATAGTGTAGTGCCTAAGGCACTTGACTGCTAACCAGAAGGCTGGCGGTTCAAACCCACCAGCCACTCCTCGGAAGGAAGATGGTGCAATTTACTTCCGTAGTGATACTGCCTCGGAAACCCAAGGAGGGGTCGCTATGAGTCGGGTCTGACTCAACGGCATATAACAAAAATAACAACCACAACAACAGTAATGAGTATCTTGAACGGAGACTATTTCACACATACCAAATCTTGACAAGCATTATTATATAGTATCACATTATAGACTTACTTGCAAGAATACATAGAGATTCTACCAATGTTTCAATCATTTTGTGCTATTTTATATAAATATAAAATTAGATTTGAAATATTTCAAGAACCAGTACATTATATACTGCCACTATGTCACTTATTTTAAGTTATATATGTTAAGGGAAGGGAAAAAATTTTGTATGTAAAATTTTATAACCTCATGTGAAACAAAACTCTATTTACCTTTGACTTTATTCTGGAACTAATACTTATTTTCTAACTAAAATTCAAGATTGTAATAAAAGTCAGTCTGAATTTCTATGAAGATTCTCTTCAGTAGAAGCCACTGCTAAATGTGAGAGTTAATAGAATGTGTATTTCTCTTTAGAAGTCAAATACTAACATGAGGTCATTTATTTTGCCTTTCATTTTGTAGACATTGAAAACTGGCCTGACAATGGTTGGGAAAGTGGTAACCCAGCTGACAGGCACGCTGCCCTCTGGTGTGACAGAAGATGATGTTGCCATCCATAGTAATTCGCGGCGGAGTCCTTTGGTCCCAGGCATCATCACAGTTATTGACACTGAAACAGTTGGAGAGGGCCAGGTAAGAAGGGTTTCTGGTTCATGCAATGTGGAAAGATAGGACTAAGTGTCAAAGGGACAAGGAGGCTGCATCTTCTGACCTCCTCTAACCCCACAAGAGGAAGACAGAATCGTCATCAGTAGCCTAAGGCCTATTTCTGTGAGGCCAGACATGCTGCCCCCTCCAGCCCTTTCACCAACCCTGACACCAGCTGTTCCTCCTACAGCACCCACCACCTCTCTGCTGGGTTTGATAATTTGCTGCAGTGGCCACACAGAACTCACAGATTATGGGGTTTATTAGGGAAGTAACCGACTACAATTCGAGTTCAGGAATACACTCAGTCTCTTGCAGCTAGCTGTCTCACTTAATAGCCAGCACTCTCTCTCAGCAGCGCATGTCTTTTGTGTCTCTCTCTTAGCAATGTATGTCTCTCGCTTTTCTCTCTCAGCAAGTGCGTGTCTCTCAGGAGCGCATTTCACTCAGCAGCATGTCTTTCTCAGTCAGCAGTTAGTGAGACTCTTTCTGCCTCTAGGAGGGCTCCTTTTGAGCCTGGCAGAGTGGCCAAACTAACCAATTCCAACATCAGAATTCTATACACCTAAGAGAGAGAGAACTTCCCAGAAAATTACTTTGTGCTGCTCCCAACAGAAGTACTCCAGGTGGATAACTTTAACAATCAGGATCTACTCAGTTGCTCAAGGCAGATTCCACCACGGTGTTTACAAAGACTCATGTATGGCTAGAAAAGCCATACCCAGATAATTTACTACACTAAGAATATCATTTGGGACCAAGATCAGCCAGTATGCACTTGGCCTGGGAGAGCATTAATTTGGAATCCCAGAAATTGAGATTATTTCACATTAGAAATGTTTTCAACAAATACTAACATCTTAAAACCTATTATTTCAAACTTTATAGATATATCAAACCTGAAGATAAAATTCTGTTGTGATCTCTTTTTCGGGAACTTATTTATAAATAAATATCTCATTATACTGTTCTTTTTATAATACTGCTTCATTTTAGTGTTTTTTTTTTTTAAGAACTACATGTCAATCTTTTATTTATTATTATTCTTTTTTTTATTTTTGCAGTGTGTTTCCCTCCCCTTTCCTCTCCCCCCGGTAATCAACAGTGAAAGTTTACTTCCATGTATAAACCTTTCCTTGACTTTTTGCAATAATGAACTAATATGATACAATATTTATCCAGTATTTGTCGTTCTGGGTGTGCATATGTCTGTTCTTGTCCTGGCTCTCACTTCTTTAGGATATATAGCTAGTAATGGGATTGATGGATCAAATGGTATTTCTAATTCCAAATTTTCAAGGAATTGCCATACTGCTTTCCACAGTGGTTGTACCATGTGACAGTCCCACCAGCAGTGTACGATAGTCCCAATCTCTCTGCATCCTCATCAGCATTTGTTATTTTCTGTCTTGTTGAACTTTGCTATTAGTGCTGGAGCCAGATGGTATCTCATTGTTGTTTTGATTTGCATCTCTCTAATGGCTAGTGATTGTGATTTCTTCATGTTTGTGTTGGCCACCTGAATATACTCCTTGGTGAAGTGTCTATACATATCTTCTGCCCATTTTTGGATTGTTTGTCTTTTTGTTGTTGAGGTGTTGGAGTTTTCTATAAATTCTAGAGCTAAGTCCCTTGTCAGATATATCATTGCCAAATGTTTTTTTTCCCAATCTGTAGGTTCTCTTTTGACTCTTTCAGAGAAGTCTTCAGATGCACATAAAAATTTAATGTTGAGAAGATTCCATTCATCTAGTTTATCTTCTGCTGTTTATGCATTTTGGGTTATGTTTGATAGTCTGTTTATGCCATAAATTAGGGCCCCTAAATTTGCCCCTATTTTCTTTGAGGAACTTTATAGTTTCAGGTTTCACATTTAAGTCTTTGATCCATCTGGAGTCAGTTTTTATGTATGGTGTGAGGTGGTGTTTCTTACAACTGAAATCAAAAGACTAAAAATTTCTCTTTAGGGCTGAGGCTGCTCATAAAAGGAATCAACAGGATCTTATATATTTGGGAGTGCAATGATAATTACTGAATAATATCCAAATTTATTATAGATAAAAATTTTCATATTCTTATAAAAAGTAAAAAATACGTGAAATCTTAGGTAGCAGAATACATGATAACAGCTTATTATAAAATCCTGTATCTACAGGTAAAACAAGTAATTTTTAAAAATCTGTATTCAGAAATGTTTAGGAGGGATGGTTATAAGCATGAGAAAACATTTTATGCTTGCATTTAAATCCTTCCTGGCTTAAAAGTATATAAAATTGGGTTCTGAGTTTCCCACTTTGCACTCATGAACATGAGTATTATTATGTGTATCATGGTGTTGATTTTTAAAATACATCTCTGAAGGGAAGGTATTTCTTTTTAAATTCTAATATGTTGTGATTATTCTTAAAAAATATAATCTAATACCAATTTCTATAGTAAATAAGAGTAAAGCAGCATTTCTGAAATAAAAATTATTTTCATTTTCTATAGAGTACAACATATTTAATTCTGTGTTCAGATCATAATGCTTAGAAACTATGTGAGTGCTAAAGTATTAATGCTAAATATTACTCTTTTTTTTTTTTGAGAAAATTTGCTTCCAGTATATATGGGCCAACATCTTGATTAAATCATCTTTACATTTATCAGTTTCCTATGTGTTAGTTTCTCTAGAAGATCAGATGGCCCTTGAAGAAAGGGTGGATTTACTGCAATTAAAAGAGTATAACTGAAATTCTGGGTTATTGCATTTGACTGTCATATTTTGTTTAAAGTCTGAATATTTTGTTTAAAGTCTCCCATCTTTTCTTTGTGAGTAAGTAAATATGTTACAGGCCTGAATTCTTATTTAAAACTCTTTTTTAATGAAGTGCTAGCAAAGTTTTCAGTTCACTGTAATGTATTTTTTTTTTTTCTTTTAGTTCTGTTAATTAGGTGAAGTGAATAGCTTAAAGTGGATAGACACATACAGATGTGCTCTTTTTAAATAGGAATTAAATATATAAACCATTAGTACTTTATGAGAGTTAAAGTAAAAAAAATTTCTTTTGACCTTTGATTCTTGATTCTTAATTAATTCATCTACAAGGCCACCCACATTTACTGTGAAGTAATAACCCTCATCAACATTGTCTAGTTTAGTGACTGTAAGTGAATCTGTTAAAGGTCTAGCATTTGTTGACAGAGATTTGTGGTTATTTAAGAATAGGAAATGAAACTTCTTAATATTTTTGGTGAAATCAGGAGGTGACACTCATATATTAATTTATTTCATTACATTGAAGTAAAGGAATATATTTTAAGAAAAATTTATAATAATTAAAAGCAAAGCTTAAGAATCTATGTTTTCAAATGTGGATTGGTTTTTCATCCCTGTTCTTCATTAACTTTTTTTGACTTTAAAAAGGAATTTTCAGTCGGTGAATTTAGGAATATGTAAATGGATTAGATTGTGAAATTGCAACAGTTCATTTTTCTGTGATAATGTATTGGGAACACTAGAAACATTTGAAAGATGTTTACTAGGAAATATAAATCATAGAAATGTTAGTTTTTAAAAGTTAGCATCTCATATTATTGATTATGAAACATATATTCTGTTATTGGTTGGAAATTGTGATCTCTTTTCTTTCCTATTTATTATATATTCTGTGAAAAAATGATTTTATTTTAAAAATCCAATATAAAACGGAAAATTAATTGATTTTCACTGAAAGATGAGTTACTCTGTACATTTTTTAAAGAATTAGAAGTATTTTTAAGCACCAAGGTTCCTTCAGAGTATAATACTGATCATCTTTCTTTTATTAAGGTGAATCTGTTTTTTGTCAAGAAGACATTTTTGTCTCTGATTAATAGTTCAGTCGGAGTATGAGGCTGTTTGTAGGATTGCAGTGGTTAATGTCATAGATTTATCACTCTTAGCTGTTTCCACTGATGTTTGACCTCAGCTGTAACGTTTTTTTTCTTTTCCTCATATATCTCAGGTCATAAAGTTGAGGCTGCTACATTGACTTCTGCTGTTTAAATCCATTGAGCCTTTAACAAAGATATTTTCATGTTTACAGTGGTAGTGTATAAAATTTGACTCTTCATCTTCTGATGTTAAATTGATTAGTTTGATTTTATGATGACAGCATCATTGTTTAGTAACTGCATTAAGGCAGAATGGATTTGATTGACTTTGTGTCCATTTTTATCTGTGTTACTTTCATGTTTTATTTAAAAGCATTTCTTGACTAGGATTAGTTGAGTGGTATAATTTGCTTTTACAGGTTTATATAATTGAAGTCATAATGGATAGTGACTACTAGTTAGCAAGGTGGAGAAATTTCTAATTAAAGGAAAAGTGTTCAGAATGAGGATATAACCTTGAGCTTATTCTTGCCATGAGAGCAAATATCAGTCATAGTAATTTAATAATTTTGTCTATCTTGTTCAGACAATAAAGGCTACTTTATCCATCTTGTATCAGTTAAACTGCTTTACTTTGCTTCAATACAATAAAGTTGTTAATACATAGTTAGATGCTCAACCTGCCTCATTAAGTGGTGAATAAAGATTTTGTCTTAGGAAATTTGTATTTGGATATCTCTGGTACTAATGGTTTCATGGTTTAGGCAAGGTGATAATGTAATGGAAAGGGTCCTTCTAAAGTGCCTGGTTCTGTAAGGAGAGAAGAGAAAAAGGGAATTTTGTAAGATCAATAATAGAACAAGGGGCAAAAGACAGGAATAGACACATCACAGGAAAAAAAGATTTACAAATGGTGCCTCCCAGTGACTCATCTCATTTAAGGAAAATGTATATTAAAACTATATTGAGATACCATTTATCACGTATAAGAATAGGAGAAATGCAAAAGCTCATAATATACTTTTTTAATGCATTTTATTGAAATATAATTTATGTATAATGAAATACACAAAACTAAAGTGACATGAGTCCATGCATTTTTTTTTTTTTTGCAGTGTTTCCTCCTCTCC